GTTATTATCAGGGTTTTCAATTCAATTCCATTGGTCTACGTCTATTTTTGTGTCACTAGCCCTATAATAGAGTTTGAAGTCAGTGGTGTTTTGGCTATCCTGGGTCTTTGTTTTTCCATATAAAGTTGAGTATTTTTCTTTCAAGGTCTGTGAAGAATTGTGCTGTGATTTTGATGGGGATTGCATTGAATCTGTAGATTGCTTTTGGCAAGATTTCCATTTTTACTATGTTTATCCTACCTATCCAAGAGCATGGTAGATCTTTCCATTTTCTGGAATCTTCTTTAATTTCTTTCTTTAAAGACTCAAAGTTCTTATTATATAGGTCTTCCACTTGTTTGGTTAGTATTACCCCAAGATATTTTATGTTGTTTGTGTTGGGTGATGCTTCTCTGATTTCTTTCTCAGCCCCTTTATCATCTGTATATAGTAGGGCTACTGATTTTTTTTTTTTTTTTTTTTTTTTTTTGAGTTAATCTTGTATCCTGCCACTTTGCTAAAGGTGTAGGAGTTCCCTGGTAAGAGTTTTTCAGGTCACTTATGTAAACTTATCATTTGCAAACAGTGAAAGTTTGACTTCTTCCCAATTTGTATCCCTTTGATCTGCTTTTGTGTTCTTATTGCTCTGCTTTTGTATTCTTATTGCTCTAGCTAGTACTTCAAGTACAGTATTGAAGAGATAAGGAGAGAGTGGACAGCCTTGTCTTGTTCCTGATTTTAGAGGAATCACAATGACTTTCTACCCATTTAGTTTGATGTTGACTGTTGGTTTGCTTTTATTATGTTTAGGTATGTTCCTGTTATCCCTGATCTCTCTAAGACCTTTATCATGAAGGGGTGTTGGATTTTGTCAAAGGCTTTTTTAGCATCTAGTGAATGATCTTGTAGTTTTTTTCTTTTTTAGTTTGTTTATATGATGAATTACATTGATGGATTTTTGTATGTTGAACCATCCCTGCATCCCTGGGATGAAGCCTACTTGGTCATGTTGGATGATTTCTCTGATGTATTCTTAGATTTGATTTGCCAGTATTTTATTGAGTATTTTTATATCAGTGTTCATGAGGGATATTGGTCTGTATTTATCTTTCTTAGTTATGTCTTTGTGTAGCTTTGGTGCCAAGGTAATTGTAACCTCGTAAAAAGAGTTTAGCAATGTCCCTTCTGCTCTATTGTGGGGAACACTTTGAGGAATATTGATATTAGCTATTGTTTGAATTTCTGGTAGAATTCTACACTGAAACCATCTTGTCCTGGACTTTCTTTTTTGGTTGGGAGACTTTTGATGACTGCTTCTCTTTTATTAGGGATTATGGGTCTATTTAAATTGCTTATCTGTTCTTGATTTAATTTTGGTAAGTGATATCTATCCAGAAAAATGTCCATTTTTATTAAATTTTTGAATTTTGCGGAGTACAGATTTTCAAAGTATGACATGAAGATTCTCTGGATTTCCTCAGTGTCCGTTGTTATGTCCCCCTTTTCGTTTCTGAGCTTGTTAATTAGGATGTTCTCTCTGTGCCTTTTGGTTAGTTTGGATAAAGGTTTGTTTATCTTGTTGATTTTTCTTGATGAACCATCTCTTTGTTACACTGATTCTTTGTATTGTTTTCTTAATTTCTACTTTATTAATTTCAGCCCTCAATTTAATTATTTCCTGGTGTGTAATCCTCCTGGGTGAGTTTGCTTCTTTTTATTCTAGAGCTTCCAGTTGTGCTGCTAATTCTCTATTTTGACTATTCTCCAGTTTCTTCATGTGGGCACTTAATGCTATGAACTTTCCTCTTAGCGCTGCTTTCAAAGTGTCCCTTAAGTTTGGTATGTTGTATCTTCATTCTCATTGAATTCTAAGTCTTTAATTTTTTTCTTTATTTCTTCCGTGACCCAGGAATGGTTCAATTGCACATTGTTCAATTTCTATGAGTTTGTAGGGTTTCTGCAATTTGTGTTGTTGTTGAATTCTAACTTTAAAGCATAGTGGTCTGATAAGATACAGGGGGTTATTCCAGTTTTTTTGTACCTATTGAGGTTTGCTATATTGCCGAGTATGTGGTTGATTTTAGAGAAGGTTCATGTGGTGCTGAGAAGAAGGTATATTCTTTTGTGTTTGGATGGAATGTTCTATAAATGTCTGTTAAATCCTAACTTTTGTTAGTTCCTTTGTTTCTTTGTTAAGTTTCTGTCTGATGAACATTTCTGGTGTTGAGATTGGGTTGTTGAAATCTCCCACTATAAGTGTATGAGGTTTTATGTGGGATTTGGGTTTTAGTAATGTTTCTTTTATGAATGTGGGTGCCTTTGTATTTGGGTCATGGATGTTCAGAATTGAGACTTCATCTTGATGGAATTCTCCTGTGATGAATAAGAAATGACCTTTCCATCTCTTTTGATTGATTTTAATTTAAAGTCTAATTTGTTAGATATTAGGATTGCTACACCAGCCTTTTTCTTGGGTCCATTTGATTGGAAAATCTTTTCCCAACCCTTAACTCTGAGGTAACATCTATCTTTGAAGTTGAGGTGTGTTTCTTATATGCAGCAGAAGGATGGATTGTCTTTGTATTCGTTCTGCTAGCCTGCATCATTTTATAGGAGAATTAAAGCCATTAATGACCATTGATTATTAATTCTTGTTTGTTGGTGGTGGTGGTATTGTGTGTGGATTTCCCCCCAATTTTCTTTTGGCTGTTGGTAAAGTGGGATTATCTATTGCCTATGTTTTTTACTTCCTTGGGTTGGAGTTCTCCTTTCAGAACTTTCTGTAGGGCTGGATTAGTTGATATGTATTGTTTAAATCTGGTTTTGTCATGGGTATCTTGGTTTCTCCATCTATAGTGATCGAAAGCTTTGCTGGGTATAATAGTCTAGACTGGCATCAGTGGTCTCTTAATGTTGGCAGAATATCTATCCAGGACCTTCTGCCCTTCAGAGTTTCCATGGAGAAGTCAGATATAATTCTGATAGATTTGCCTTTATATGTTACTTAACCTTCTTCCTTTGCTGTTCTTAATATTCTTTCTTTATTCTGTATGTTTAGTGTTTTGGTTATTATGTGTCAAGGGGACTTTTCTTTTAATGGTCCACTCTGTTTGGTGTTCTGTAAGCTTCTTGTACTTTCATTGGCAGTCTATCTTTAGGTTGGGAAAGTTTTCTTCTATAATTTTGTTGAATATATTTTCTGTATCTTTGAGTTGGGTTTCTTTACCTTCTTCTATACCTATTATTCTTAGGTTGGCCTTTTCATGGTGTTCCATATTTCCTGAATATTTTGTGTTAGGGATTTGTTGGACTTAAGAGTTTCTTTGGTCGATGAATCTATTTCTCCTAGTGTATCTTCAGTGCCTGAGATTGTCTCTTCCATCTCTTGTAGTCTGTTGGTTATGCTTTCATCTGTAGTTCCTGATCGTTTACCCAGCTTTTCTATTTCCAGCTTTCCCTCAGACTGTGTTTTTTTTTAATTATCTCTATTTTGGCTTTCAAACCTTGTACTGTTTGAATTGTTTCTTGCAGTTTTTGGTTTGTCTTTTCTTCTATTTCTTTAAAGGATTTTCTCATTTCCTCTTTTAGGGTCTCTATTATCTTCATGAAGATGTTTTTAGGGTCATTCTCTTCTGATTCATCTGTGTTCAGATGTTTGGGTCTTGCTTGTGTGGAGTCTCTAGACTCTGGTGGCATCATTTTGATCTTTCTGTTGTTCACTGTGTTCTTACACTGTATTCTACCCATCCCTTCCAGTGCATACCGGTCAGGTCTCTCCCTCTCCTGATGGGTATGGGACCAAGGTTCTCTTCCAGTGGGTGCAAGCAGGACCAACAGTCTGATGGCTCTCCTCTTCCAATGGGTGGTGGCTGGACTAGGGCTCTGGCAGACTCTGGATGGGCTGGTTTGCTGGGACATACTTGAGAGGCCACCCAGTGTCCCCCACCCCCCACGGTCCCCAGGAGGCTCTGAGCAGGCCACCAGAAGGTGGGCTCCTGAAAAAATGAAAAATTTTTAATTTGATGACTGTTCCTCCTATTGCCTTTAGACATGGCACCAGGATTTTAGGTCATCATAAATTAAAATAGATTTTTTTCACTCAGAGAATATCAAGATAATGGGATTATCTGTGTATTCTCTGAAATTTGCGGGATCAAACAATTACAAAAAATAGGGGGGAAACAAAAACAAACAAAAAACAAAAGATACCTAGCCTACAGTCAACAATCCCAGAGAAGCTAGACCCCTCTTACAGAAACAGAAGGAAGCAGATGCAGAAATCCACAACTAACCAGTGAGCCAAGCTCCTAGAGTACAATCAAAGTGAGGGAAGAGAGATAATATGAACAAAGGAGTCAAGACCATGATGGGGAAACCCACAGAGTCAGCTGAGCTGAGCTAGTGACAAATCACTGACTCAGGTCTGACAAATGGGAAACCTGCATAAGACTAAACTAGACTCCCTTAATGTAGGTGACAATGGTGTGACTGGGACAATATATGAGGCCACTGGTAGTGGATCCAAGACCTAACTGCAATGCACAAACTGACTTAGTGGAAACCATTCTATATAGAGAGATACATCGCCCAGCGTAGACACAGGGGTGTGGGGAGGTGCCTTTGTCCTGCCTCAATGAGATGATGGGACAGACTTAGTAGACTTCCTAGGGGAGGCCTTACCCATTCTGAGGAGCAGATGGGAGTTGGGTGGGGCAGCAGGAGGAGAAGAGGGAAGGGACCCAGGATTGGAATATAAAGTAAATTAATTAAAAAAAAAATGTTTAAAGAAAAAAAAAAAAAAAACTATTTTAAAACCAGGTCTTGTGTTGCTCTGCTGGGTCTGAACTTGCTCTGTTGACCAGGTTGCCTTTGAGCTTGTGATCCTTCTACCTCTGCCCCCATAGTCGTGTTTTCAGTTGTATTGTGAAGACAGGTGCCATGAAGAAGAGTTTTTGTTTCTTCAAAGGGAAGGTTGGAGTTGACTTTGGCTGGTGATGTCCTGACTGAGTTCTGTCTTACAGTTGATTGGATTATTGCGGACATGCTGGCTGCACGACAGGATGCCCTTGGACATGTGCGTTACGTGCTGAAAGACAGGTTAAAATGGCTTCCATTGTATGGGTTTTACTTTGCTCAGGTAACCTTTATTTTTGCTCTTTCATTTCAAATTGAATACAATTTAATGAAAATATACCTGATTTTCTTTGTTTTATGGTACTAGTGATTAAACATGGAACCTCATGTGTGCTAGCAAATAGCCTTCTGCTGAGTCAGTTACATCCTCAATACAGAATGGCATTTAATGGTTTATCTTAAATTTAAGTATTTTTATTTAGAATTCTGTGTGTGCATGCACACATGTGCATGTTCACATGCACATATTGATCATATAGAGGTCAGGGGACACTTTTGGGCACAATTGTGGGTGTTACTGCTCAAGCACCTTCCACTTTTTGTTTGAGACAGTCTCCTAGTCTTTGCCATGTGAGCTCCAGGATCTACCTGTCTCTGCCTCCTGCCTCCTTGTTACTGAGATTACAAGTATGAATTGCTGTGCCCAGTTATTTTCATGGATTCTAGGGATCCAAACTTGAGTTCTCATACTTTTGAGACAAATGCTTTCTCAACTAAGCTGTCTCCACAGCTCTTACTCTTAATGGTGAATCTCTACATGTCTGGTTTTCCAAATAGTTAAATGGAGTAGCAGAAATACAAATACCTAGAAGTCACATAGAAAATTAAAAGGTATAGAATTTGACAGTCAATCATGTTAAGATTAAGAAGGGGCTGGAGAGATGTCTCAGTGGACAAGAGTACTGACTGCATTTTCAGAGGATCTGGGTTCAATTGCCAACACCCACATGGCAGCTCACAACTGTCTGTATCTATAGTTCCAGGGTATCCAACACACACAGACATACATGAAGGCAAAAACACCAATGCACATAAAATAAAATAAAAATAAATTACTTTTTAAAAGTTAAAAAAATAAATTCATTCAGAAGTAGTTAGTGATCTGTAGAAAATAAAACCAGATACTGAGCTCAGTATATATATGAAGTGTTCCATGTGAAGGAGTACATATCTCACAGTTTTGAAGATTGAAAGTCTCCTTATGATCAGGTTGTGGGTGGTGCTGCTTTTTCCTAAGGCTTACATTTTTGGCTTGAAGTCTGCCTTCTCCCTGTTTTCTGAGCTGGCCTTTTTTCCACATGTATGCATTCTTGGTGTGTGTTCCACTAGCAGGGCCCTAAGTAGTATATTTCACTTAACTGTAATTATTTTCTTACAGACCTTATCTCTATAGTTACTGTGGAAGTTGGGGCTTCAATATAAGATTTGGGGGGAACAAAAATTAGTCTGTAACGATGTCACATGAATCTCTGTAGTTCAGTCCATTTTTTAATTCCTTAAAGGTTGTAAGTATAGACATTTTTTTATGCCCTTCCCTCCTAGTCAGTAGCCCTTTTCCTTCCTTCCTTCTTTCCTTCCTTCCTTCCTTCCTTCCTTCCTTCCTTCCTTCCTTCCTTCCTTCCTCCCTCCCTGTCTCCCTCCCTTCCCACTTCATTTCTTCCTTCCTTTATTGTTTTTAATTTATTTTACGTGACTGAGTGTTTTGTGTATAGTATTTCTGGTGTTTAGTCCATATTTTAATTTCCTAAAGGTTGTAACTGTAAACATTACAAAAAAAGTATGTCCTTTCGTCCTGGCTAGTGGCATCTTTTGTTTATTGTTTTTAAATTGTTTTATGATTGAGTGTCTGTGTATATGTATCCCTGGTGCTTGTGGAGGTCAGAAGACACCAAATTCCCTGCAACTGTTAGAGATGGTTGTGACCGTGTGAGTGCTGGGAACCCAACCCTGGTCTTCTGAAATGTTAACAAGTTCTCTTACCCACTGAGCCATCTCTCCGGTCCTGGGAGTGTGAACATTTTAAGAATACTTTTAATGACAGTAGAAATCAATGAGTTAAGATCCATCACAAAAGTTTTTGAATAAAAGTTTTTAAAGAAAGAAAGAATATTTTAACTGCTGACAAAATTAAATGTTTGTGTACTTTCCAGGACAGTGCAGCACAGAGTTTTACTTGTGTTCTGAAGAAATAGAATTTTTGGTTACAAATTGTAGAGATGGTAATATTTAAATCTTAACTGTAGCTTGAGTTTGAAATGTAATTTTATTTTTTACTCATTGGGAGTAAAGTTGCCCTTTTTGTGACTGTGATGATTAGCTTTTTAAAGGGTAATTTTTTTTTTCTTTTTTATGTACCAGCATGGAGGAATTTATGTAAAACGAAGTGCCAAATTTAATGAAAAAGAAATGAGAAACAAACTTCAGAGCTACGTGAATGCTGGAACACCAGTAAGAGTGCCATTCCCATTCCTTAACTCGGTTTACAAGTTAAGAAATTAAACTCTAAGTCATTTGAAAGCATTTTACCCATGATAAACTATCTTCTTGGATGTCAGGAAAGATCGCTACTGACGATTATAGGATTTTTTCTAGGCTCAGGAAGAGCAAGCATATGTCTTTTAGTCTACAGAGGATGGCGGTTCATTGACAGCCTTACATGTGAGAACCAAAGAGCTAGTCTTCATGTTAGAATTAGTTTTAGAAGAGTAACTGCTTCCTGTTTGTGTATATTTGGATTTTTATTGAATAATTTAAGGTTTACAAAAAACAAAGCAAAGAGTCTCCTAATGAAAAATCATATAAAGTGAATATTTTATAGAACTTTTCCCCATAAAGGGGGAAAAAGAATTTCAGTCTTCTATTTCAAGAGTGAAACTGCATCTTTCAGTAGGAGCTCAACAGATAAGGAAATAAATGTTGGTAGTAGCAAAAAGCCTGAAAATAGTCTGTGTGATGTAGCTGGTCAGGCTTTCTCTGTGACCAGCCCAACTAGTCTCAGTTGAGAAGAGAGCCCAGACGCTTCAGGCTGCCCTTTGGTCTTTCTTTTCTTGCCTGGCACACTTCAGGTTTAATCTCCTACTCTGTGACCACCTGACTCATGTCCATGACAACTAAAGAAGATAAAAAACAAACAAAAACCAATGTTTGGTTAGTGGCAAAGAAGTTAGTTCATGTAGCCAACTTTAAAAACTTTTGTTTACTTATTTTCTATTTATTTATTTATTTTGAGACAGGGTTTCTTTGTCTACCCCTGGCTGTCTTGGAACTTATTCTGTATACTAGGTTGGCCTCGAACTCAGAGATCCGCCTTTGTCTGCCTCTTAAGTGGGCTTGCCACCACTGCCAAGATGAATCTATTTTTAATAAAGGGGGGAAGAGAAATACTATGAATACAGGAGGAGGTACAAAGAAAAAAAATCATGATTTTCAATTAATGGAGTAGTTGACCTTATTTACATAGTATAACAGACAAACTCAGAAAAAGATTGTTGGAATAAGACTTGGAAGTAGCTCATCCTTGGCAACTGCCCTAGAAACAGTTATTTTGCCTGATTCCTTTTAAATTTATTCTTCTCTCATACAATATATCCCATCAGCAGTTTCCCTTCCCTCCACTCTTCCCAGTTACCCTCATACACACATCTCCCCTCTCCCCCAGATCATTCCTTCTCTGTTTCGTCTCTGAAAAGAACAGCCCACTATGGAGTTCCATGCAGGGAATCCAACCCTGCTACATGTTTGTCTGATGGGCTTTCAGGAGACTTTACTCTTAATGTTACTTGATGCTGCTACCAAGATCTGATGCTATTTCAAGAAAACAGCCTGGTCCCCTTGGACTTCACTGGCCTTTGAAATGTAACTTCAAAAAATGCTTTCCTGAGTGTTTTTGAGGAGACAATCCCTGCTGAGGCTTTCTCAGTTCAAACTCTGAACTCAAATTACTTTGTTTTTTTTTTTTTTTTTTATAGGCTGAACCCTTCCATGGATGGAGTCTTTTGCCCTGAGGGCATCTTAGAACATGAGGTTTTCTTGTACCAGCATTAACCTGTATCTAGTATAGCTGATTCCTTCACATTTCCCTTGTCTGTAACTTGCTCACTCTCCTTTCATTCCCAAACCACACATTTCCCCCCACATCTTTCTGTTCTTTCTCCTTGTAAGTCTGACCAAGAGTGGTGAGCAGTAGTAATACCAGAACCTGGATACTATTGTCTTGAGAGTTCCCTTACCAAATTAATCTGTTGCTTTTTAATTCAGCCTAACTCATATTATCAGGAAATGGGTAAAATGCAGTCAGCTTCTTTCTAGAATGTAACAACAGGAGTCTCTTGGCACAACCTCTATCTTCACTGTTTCTTCTGAACCATCATGAACCTGGCCCACTGTTTGCATTTCTCTCATCCTGATATTCTAAGCTGCCATCAGATTGGCCAGTCAAGCTCTGGTTACAGTGTTTTAGGGGTGCTCTACATAATAGCTACAAAATCTTCCAAATTCTATCCTCAAACATCTCTGAAGGCCTAAGACCAAAATGCCTAAGAGCCATGGAGTCAGGTTTACCATAGCAACAACACCACTCTCTGTGCTATGTTCTATATTACCCACTCTGCTTAGAGCCCCAGATAAATTTCTAATAAGCAGCAGCTTAAGGGAAAGCTTGATTTTGACCCTTGCCTTGTTGGTGGCATTGTAACATAGCTGAGGCCACCAGAGGATGATACTGTTTGCTCACATCTGGGTGGGACAGGAAGTGGAACTGGGTTGTAATTCTTGAGGCCTGCCCCTCAGTGACTTCCTTCAGCATAATGCCACAGCTGGGGGCTCTTCACAATGCCAGCATTTGGGGACAAAGCGAATGGAAACTTGCAGGGATGCTGCTGCACAGGATACCAGCTTTTAGATGAGTCACCGCATTTCTTTGCTAGCTTGTTTCATGAACAATTTTATATTCTGTAGGTTCATCTAGAAGAACTTTTATATCCACAGATTGCTCAGGGGGAAAAAAAAAACATTGCTTCTTATATTAGCTGTGTAGGGAAATAGTATTAGGGATCATTTGAACATGGTTGTCTGATGAATCCCTATCCTATTATTTTTCTATATTATTCTGTTTTCCTAATGAGTTTGTCTATTGGCAAATTAAGTGTTTTACACCACTCACTTCTCAAGTAGGAGTTTTCTTATTACATGGCCTTAATTTTATTTTTTACTTTCCCAAGATATTAAGTATATAAACTTCCATCAGTTGATGACTTATTATCTATCTTGCTACTTCATTTTGATTGCAGATACTGTATTTTCAGTTTAATGTAATGAGTATGAGGTAACTTAAAGTAAGTCATGTAAAATGCACCCAGAGAGCTCTATGTAGTAGAATACTGTATGAGCCTTTTGAAATGCAAATACTAAATTTCATAAGCAGTTTTAAGATAGATGTACTGTTAGCCTTGCTAGCTACCCCCCTATAAATGAGGAAGACTAGAGGTTGGATATGATAATGCACTCTGTGTTTGTGCAGGCATATGGCAGCTTCCACTAACATGTAAAGTTAATATGTGCAAACATGTCATGGTTTATTTTGGGGAATTGGAGGGCGTAGTCATTAATCACAGCAGCATTTTGCGTCCATATTTTATATTAGTGACTATTAGCATGTTTTAAAACTGTTTCCTAAACAGTTTCATATTTTTAAAGATTGACTTTACCATAAATGTAGAGCTGTGTATTGTTATAGTCTTTGTTGTGGTCAGCCTTAATTGAATCTCTACAAAGTAAAGGTCATTTGTAAGTGAATACACAGTTTCTGAGCGTATGAAACCCTGCTGCAGCAGTAACAATTTGAATTGCTAAGACAGTGGTCACAACAATGAACTCACACACACTAAAGTTTATTTGTGCCCCACAGATGTACCTTGTGATTTTCCCAGAGGGAACAAGGTATAATAAAACACAGACAAAACTACTTTCAGCCAGTCAGGCATTTGCTGCTCAAAGGGGTAAGTAAAAATTTAACTATATTCAGAAAAATACTTTTTGAGGAGAAGAATGATCTTTTCTTTAGCTTTTTCATGGAGAATAAGTCTGACTGTCTTTCTTTTTCTTTTTAAGATTACTTATTATGTATACAGTCTTCTGTGTGTATGTCAAAAGAGGGCACTAAATCTCAATATAGATGGTTGTGAATCACTGTATGATTGCTGGAAATTGAACTCAGGACCTCTGGAAGAGCAGTCAGTGCTCCTAACCCCTGAGCCATCTTTCCAGCCCATGAGAATGTGTTTTTCTTATAAGAACTGAATGAAAGAATGACTGATCTTTTAGAGTTAAGCAGATTCTTAGTGTGTGTCACAGAGGTTAGTTCACATTGCTATGGCTCATATTCCCATGCTGTGAATTAAGTTAAAATATAAGTAACCAATTATTCCAAGAAAGTGCACTTTTGCGAGTGACTCAGTATAAAGACTGGTATGTAACCTAAAAAAAACATACACAAATATATGTGTATCATATACAGAAATAGAAGTGTATGTGTAATAATCGGAGAGTGCAGATGAGGCGCCACTGCACGCAAGTCTGTTAGTAATGGCTCAGCTAATATTGAGAAGTATATTAGAAGATCAAGAAGGTGGGATTTGCTCACTCTGCGAAGACAGAACTCATTATGTACCATAGCTGTATGTTTAAGAAGTATGTGTTATGAAGAAAACCCATGTGCCATCTTGCTAGCCCCATTAAGCCCATTTGTTTTTGCCTCTCATTTCTGAGACTTCAACAACCTTATTTGTTTTCTCATTTCTCTGGCCATTAAACTTGATAAACTCTCTGCCACCTTAGGATTTCCATTGCTCTGATAAAATACCCTGGCCTAAAGCAACCAGGGGAGAAAAGGGTTTGTTTCAGCTCACAGTTCTACATCATAGTCCATGTTGGAGGGTAGACAGCAGAAATTCAAACAGCCAGGAACCTGGAGGCAGGCACTGATGCAGAGGCTATGGAGGAGTGTTGCTTATTGGCTTATGGAACCCAGGACTACCATCCTAGATGTAATATCTCCCACAGTGAGCTGGCTCTTCCCATGTCACCTATCAATTAAAAAAAAAAAAAAAAAAAAGGCATTATAGGTTGGCCTACAGGCATATTCTTTGGGAGGCATTTTCTTAATTGACAGCCCCTATTCCCAAAGTTTCTCTAACTTGTGTCTAGTTACCCAGCCACCACTATGTCTCTGAGGGCGAACCTTGACCAAAGGGTGTAGTAGAATCCCTTTAGTCCTACAGGGAAGGTAGGTTGTCTTTAATCAGCCCTCTAGTTACATCACACATGACAAGTATATCTGTGCTTTTGACCCCATTTACCCTATTTCTGAAGTGTGGTTTATAGAACAGAATAATTGAGGAGACCTGTAGAGGAAAACAAAGCAGAGAGATACCAGAGCAGGAACTAGATATCAACAAGGATATTTTTGTCTACATTTTTGAGACAATTTTCATTTCTTAATTATTAGTCTTTAAAATTAGTCCATAAAATAAGGGTCAATTGTGGTATTTTCATACAAGTCCTTTAAGATTATATCTAGGAATTGGATAAACACACTAGGAAGGATCAGTTAGCTAATGACTTCAAGTTTCAGGATAGGGTATGCTTCAGAATTTAGAAGCACTTGGTTAGAAATCATAGTTTTTTCTACATGAAGACAAGAGGAGGACAGTGTGCTGTCTGACTTAGGATGAGAATTTCCTTCTGTGAAATCACAGAAGGGCCAGGCTTTGTCTTAGTTCTATGTAGTAACTAGACTTTGTTTATGCTCCACATTGAGGGGCCATCTGTAAGAACCTGTCTTTGGGGGGCCTCATTCAGATCCAGCTGACTTGCCTGGTTCATACCTGAGAAGGGGAGTGTGGTTTGAGGCACAGCAGGTAAAGATACTGAAGAAAAAACCTAGAGACACAGGATAGAGTCAGGAGGGCAATCCAGTTAATACTGAATGTCCGTGTTTATTGTGCATAGTCTTTGTATATTCCCATCAAAAAAAGGGGAGAAGGCAAAAAACTTCCTTACCAAGATACAAAAACAAGCAAGCATAATTACCTTTTCAATACCCAAAACATCAAGTAACTATCTCCCGAGTTAAGTATTCTGTTGTTCAGGCAGGACATGCAGCAACCACATTCTATGCCAAGTAACCTTTTGCATTCACATCTTAGACCAGACATCCTTGTTTTACCTCGGAAGAGCAAAGGCAGTCAAAAAATCTGACTTTAAGTCAAGATAAAGTGTGTGGCTATAATAATTAGACATTAGTGGACTGGATGTTACTAGGTGCAGATAGGCAAGAATTTGCTCTAAGATTTTTCTTCTCATATGTTGATACCACGTTTCATGTGCTTTTTTGGGCTTCCAGGCCTAATCATCTATTGAAAATACTGTTAAGCCAGAAATGATAGTGCATACCTATGACCCCAGTGCCTGGGATCTAAGGTAGGAGGATCATAAATCTGAGGCCAGCCTGGGTCTATCCATCCATCCACTAATCAGTCAGTCAATCAATCAACCAACTGATCAATCAATCTGGTCAAGGTGATATACAGCCTGCAAACTTGACAGGGTGATTCTGTAAAAGTCCTGAGATTGGATGGCCTATAATAGCAAAGAAGGACTTAGCTAACAAGAAAAGTTTCCCAGCTTATTTGCATTTTCAGACCTTGGTACAAGTTTGTGAATAAATTACTCTCCTTCTGCCCTTGGGACTGAAGTCAGATATGTGGTTGTGGGAATCATTTTCTTTCCCACATCACCCTGCATTTTAAAAATTCTTCTTTGGACAGTCCCACCATGTTGTAGCTGTTCTTCCTTATGTAGCCACTTTCCCTGGAAAGAGGCAGTAGAAACTTCAAATTGGGTTCTCCCTAGTCGATGTTGAAATTATAGAGAGACCTGGTGTTTCCTGTGAAATTCTCAGTGCATACTCAAGTCAAGGAGAGGGAGCAGCAGAAGAGAGTAGAGGCAATGATGAATTCTACTTCTAAAAACTGAGTAGTTGGCAAGATGCTGTTACCCTCAGTGGTGTCTTTCCTGCCAGGGCTAACCCAAGAGAAGGGGTCTCACTGGGTAATAAGCTTCCTGAGGAGTAGCCTTCCCCAGCTTCCATCAGGTGTCTCCTTCGTGTTGATGTTTAATGAATATATTCTGTGCATTTTGCCCTAAGTAAAGATGGCAATGCAAGAGAACATTCTAACCTCAATAGCTAGCTCATAAGTGTGAGCATAGGGCGATAAACTTTAATCCCTGTTTATTTGTGGTAGCTGATAAGTAATTTAGATGTTGAACTTAATATATTCCTAATCATGACCACACTGAATCCACCTGCTTTCTAGGCCTTCCAGTATTAAAACACGTGCTGACACCAAGAGTAAAGGCAACTCATGTTGCTTTTGATTCTATGAAGAGTCATTTGGATGCAATTTATGATGTCACTGTGGTTTACGAAGGGAATGAGAAAGGGTCAGGAAAATACTCAATCTCACCGTCCATGACTGGTAAGTCCACATTTTTTTTTATATTAGAGGCTTAAATAGTACATGATACAGGTAAGGTATAAACTCTTCTTTCTTTTTAATTAGTGAGTATACTCATTGCTTTCCTGGGGAGGTATGATGTCTTGCTATTTAGCTCTAGACTTCAATTTGCAATCCTTCTGATTGAGCTACCCCTGTGTTAAGACTGTCTAGCCCTGAAGTTGGCCTCCTTTATTTCATTTACTGGTGGTTACTAATGTATAGATTTGAAATTTGACTCATAATTCTAAATTTCACATTTCTGATAAGTCTGTAGAGATCATTAACCTGGCTTCTTTCTGCCAGAGGTTCACATATGAGACTGGAAAGATCTACAAAGATGTGAGGACAAACTGCTCAGCAAGTAGTGCCAGAGTAAAGTGATGGTCAGTGTAGCCTTTTTTGTGTGTGGTTTTTTTTTTTGTTTTGTTTTTTTTTTGTTTTTGTTTTTGTTTTTTGTCTTGTTTGGCTTGGTTTGGTTTTATTTTTCCATACAGGATTCCTCTGACCCTCCTGGAACTCACTATGTAAACCAAGCTAGCCTTGAACTCGAGCCACTACACCCGGCTCCATGCCACCCCCACACACACCCTTTTTTTTTTTTTTTTTTTGGTGTTGAGCCTAATTTATAGTATGTTGGAAAGGACATTTGTATTGTTGTACAAGAAGAAACCGTGCCCTTTAAGGACTCAGAACTATACTCTGTGTCATACAAGCAAAAGGCTTTGAGTGAGAATAGTTTAGGTAACTGTAGTCACAAATTCAGCATTTGAGCATGTGAACAGAGGAGTGGTGGAGGACTCCAGCCCCTTTCAGGGTATTCACTTTAGAGAGAGGAGAGTCGTGCATACTCACCACATACAAAAGAGCTCTCAGAATCCCAGCACTAAGGAGGAAGAGGCAGAAGGAAGACACACTCAGAGAAATGTCTGCACACCACACCACAGTGTGATATTTTTAAAGAAATCTGCAGTCTCCCTGACCCCACACTCCCTTGTATTAAATAATTTTCCTGTTAAACAATAGGAACATGAAGCAGTTTGATTATCAAAGCCAGCCAGTTTTCTTACATACTTTGAGGAAGGAACTGACTTTGACAATGAAAGAGAAAAAAAGCAGTAAAATGTAAACGATTTTAATGTAGCTATTTTTCAACTTAATTTTTAAGTTAGTATATAAAGTGATAGGTTTCATTATGGCATTTCTGTATCTAGAGGAGGCATGGGTGCTTCTCCAGTACAGCTGCTAGAAGCCAGTGATAGTTGACACAGGTTTAAGTAAGTGTTGTATACTGATAAGGAGTTTAATACTGCAAGTCATAAGTTTATAGTTTTTTCCCAACTTTTCTGGGTCTTTATTGCTTTGTTTTCACTGTGTTACATTATGTAATCATGAATTCTAGAATAGTAAGACCTGAAATCTTTTTTCTTTTTTGTTAGATTTTCTCTGCAAACAGTGTCCCAAACTTCATATTCACTTTGATCGTATAGACAAAAATGAAGTTCCAGAGGAACAAGAACACATGAAAAAATGGCTTCATGAGCGTTTTGAGATAAAAGATAAGTAAGTGGTAACATTTCCAGCATTCATAAACTGCAGTTCAACTAAATTTCACAATAGTAAACAGTTTGAAAAAGAGGTGTTTTCATTATTTAGGAAATACTAATCAAACATGCATAAACAAGACCTTACATACTTCCTGTGTAACATGTTTAATGGTGTATTGTCCTTGTATAACAATTAAGTTCAACATTTCTACATCAGTGCACTGATGGTGTCTGTACAATGACAACTCTAACATGGTCAACTAGGCGGCTTTTTCTAAAGCTAATGGCACAGCTAAAGTGAAACTAAAGTTTGTATTGTTTCAAGAATATTTTTTATGAACTCAAGTTAACTCTTACTCTATTCTTACATGCTCACGTTTTACACTGTTATGAGTCACTGTAAAGCTTATGTCGTGGTGGCCTACCTGCCTGGGCAGTGTTTAATACCCACCTGTTTGTGTTATAGACACTTAAACATATGTGGGGGTTTCTCTCTCTCTCTCTCTCTCTCTCTCTCTCTCTCTCTCTCTCTCTCTCTCTCTCTCTCTCTCTCTCTCTCTCTCTCTCTCTCTCTCCTCTCTCTCCTCTCTCATTATTTTTTCTTATGATTGCCCAGCCTTAGCTTAGCTTGTTTCTAGCCAGCTTTCCTTAAATTATCCCATCTACCTTATGCCACTTGACTTTTACCCTTTTCTATTTCTGTGTACTTTCTTTACTTCTTACTCCATGGCTTGCTGTGTAGCTGGGTGGCTGCCCCTGGAGTTGTCCTTTCTTTTGTACCTCAATCTTTTCTTCCCAGATTTCTCTTCCTATTTATTCTCTCTGCCTGACAGCTCCCTTTCTCTTTCTCTTGCCTTGCTATTGACCATTTAACTCTTAATTAGACCAGCAAAGTAACACAGCTTCAGAGTTAAACAAATGCAACATAAAAGAATGCAACACATCTTTACATCATTACACAAATGGTCCACGGCATAAATGAATGTAACACATCTTAAAATACTCTACATCAAACTCGTCATCTGTGAATGTTCCCATAAGGAAATAGGAGTACTTTCTGTGCGGTATGTCCTGTCCTGCTGCTATAACCTTTCATGTTTAAGTCAGAGGGGAGAATTAACAAACTGCATTCTTTATTTTTCTCTCCTGTTTTTATAATTATATGGGAATAAGAACTTTTGGGAGGTGTTTTAGTCATTGCTCTGTTGCTGTGAAGAGATACCATGACCAAAGCAGCTCTTATAGGAAAAAGAATTTATTAGGGACTTCTTACAACTTCAGAGATTTAGTCCATTATCATCATGAGGAGCATGGGAGCAGCAGATAGGCATGGTGCTGAAAACATAGTTGATAGTTACATCCTTACCCATAGGCAGTAGAGAGAGATTGAGGGAGAGTGGACCTGGCATGGGATTTTGAAACCTTAAGCCCACCCCCAGTGACACACTTTCTCCACAGGGCCACACCTGTGGAGGACATTCTTATTCAAACTGCCACAGGATGAAAACTCAATGTATATTGTAAGAATTTCTTTCCTGGGCTGGAGAGATGGCTCAGCCGTTAAAGGCTAGGCTCACAACCAAAAACATAAGAATTTCTTTCCTTTAACTTCTTTGAAAGCTTATTTTTGTGAGATGGGATCCAGGGGCTCACACAGGGGCAAGCACTCTACTGGTGAGCTACAGCCTCAACCCTTTTCTTTACTTTTTATGGGAGGAAGAAGTGAAGCTGGTAGGTCATTAGTCATATGAATCAGGTTGCTATAACTTCTTACAGATGGAAAGGTTTAAAAAAAAAAAAAAAAAAAATGGGGCTAGAGTGGTGGCCCAGCAGTTAAGAACATTGGCAGCTCTTCCGGAGGACCTGGGTTTGTTTCCCAGCACCCATATGGTGATTCACAATTGTATGTTAAGTCCTTTTTCAATGGCTTCTGCAGGCAGGCACCAGACATGCACATGGTACACACACAAACAAACCACCCATTCACATAAAAGTAAATAAACATATCATATATATATCCCCAAAGTCCTCATCAAAGGCTTAAACCAAGTTTTCTGAGTTTCGCTTCCCTTATGGTAAGGATAGACTACAACAATCCTGTAAACTAATAGTGAGCATCCTGCCTTGCCACCTCTGATGGCTCCTCACTCACCTGGGTTTTCTAAGGAACTGTACTTGCTCAGCAAGTATTTAGTATCCAGTAGATGACTTTTTTGTTTGTTTGTTTGTTTCAACACCAAAGTGCCTAAAAGTGGAAGTATCAATTCTGTTTTTCATTCTGGCCATAGGTTGCTTATAGAATTCTATGATTCACCAGATCCAGAAAGAAGAAACAAATTTCCTGGGGAAAGTGTTCATTCCAGACTAAGTGTCAAGAAGACTTTACCATCAGTGTTGATCTTGGGTAGTCTGACTGCTGTCATGCTCATGACAGAGTCTGGAAGGAAACTGTATGTGGGCACCTGGTTGTATGGAACCCTCCTTGGCTGCCTCTGGTTTGTTATTAAAACATAAGCAAGTAGCGTGCTCCAGTCATTGTCTCTTACTGATGGCTACACATTACATCACATTGTTTCCTGAATTAAATAAGAAGTTTTTTTAAAAAGTCTTGTTGATTGAACACTGGATAAAATAGAATTAGTGACCACAGCCAACATGCAATTGATTTGGGGCAAACACACACGGCTGGCTTTTCAGGTGTTGGAGTTGCTGGAAACATGTAAGCTAAGTGGAGTTATGCTATTTTTTTATGTTCTTCATGAACTAATGTCCACTTGTGAAAATTATTTGGATTGTATAATTTGATGTTTATAATTCAGATGGCTGAATTTTAACATTACTTTATAACATATTTCACTATCCATTACCTTCCATTTTGATTACTTGGCAGCTCAAACTCTTATCACTAAAGTATTTTATATTTCGAAGCTAAGTGATACTGGGTTTTCGTTAAATTCTGCAAGTCAATGAAAGATACTGTAATTATGTGTTGAAATGTTCAAAGAAAAAGGTGAAAAGTATTCATGATGAAAAGAATCTGTCTAGTGTATATTTTTATTATATTGCTCTATTTAGCTAATTTTCTTTATATTTGCAAAATAACAAACATTTCTAATATTTATTAAAATTGATTAGTTTGCATACCCCTATTCTACAGAGAATAATGTGTAAAGTGTCCATATGGAGTTGAAGCTCCATTATGACTCTGTCTCATCTGGCAGAACTTTAAATAGCCCAGCGCCTGAGCTACTGAGTTAGTGCCTCCCAGCATCTGTGCTGGACTGCTTATAAACACAAGGGTCCCTGTTATTTTCATATTGAAAGGGACATTTACAGAACTCTAGGTGCTGGAAGTCTGCCAGTATCCTGACTATCTGTCCTAGCACGTGCCTTCTGCCTGTCTCCCTTTGCTTTGGCACTGCATTTGGTCTGGAACGTGTGCACTCATGGTTGCTTGCTGCTTGTTCTAGCCCTTGCCCTCTGGCTTGGTGTCCTCTAGTGGTGCTGTTCATTGCTCGGGTGCAGGCAGTGCTGCCTGGCTCAAAGGGGCATTCCCCTTGACTCCTGTGGGTTAGCCTCCTTGGCTACTACAGAAGCGCCTTGCATTTGTTTATGTCAAGAAACATCAGGATTGGGTAAATGTTATTTCTCTTCAGTTTTTGTGGAGTCACACTGTTGATACATATCACCTGTGAATGAGAGCTACCTTCCAGGACCAAATCACACTGTTCTCAGTCATAGAATGGTGTATCCTATGGAAGGAGGCTTTCTAAAGTTTGATTTGCTGTATTTTTATGTTATAATTTAAGTGTGATTGCCTACTAGTCCTTTAAGGTAACATTTCTGCATATTTCATACAGATTTTTGTCACAAAATTATACCAATGATCAAGTTGAAATAGACCATTTAAATCACAATAAATTTTAAGTTGAGGGAAATTTTGCCTCTTATATTTGTCTTCTTAAAACCAGAAAATGAGCCATTTCAAACATCTTTGAAGAGTCACGTGCTGTCACTTGGTGTCTGTGCATTTGTATATTCATATATGGATATGTATATTCACTAGGGATGTGTATGTTCACATATGGATATGTATATTCACATATGGATGTGTATGTTCACATATGGATATGTATATTCATAGACAATACACACACATCCACAGAATATAGTATCCTAAAAACAAATAAACTTGTTCATCATGGTATTGTGCCGAATTGTAATCATCTTCTACTTAAAAAGTGAAGTTGAGATCAACCTCACATCTCTGTTAAATCCATTTTCTAGCGGTCCTAGTAGAGCATTTTTTGACAAGATCAAAATAAGTACAAGTTATGAGGCTAAAGGATGGCTGGGGACTGGGGAGACAGCTCAGCCATTAAGAGAGCACTCTTGCAGAGGGTTAGGTTCCCAGCACCTGCTTGGAGGCTCACGAAAGCCCATTTTCCAGACCAGTTGGAATTGAAACATTCTCTGTCTTCCATGGGCAGACACATGCACATGCTTACACACACAAATTAAAACAAATCTTTAAATATTATGTGTGTGCTGTGCATTTGAATTTTAAAAGACAGTACCATTGGAATCACAGGGATATAACTGATTCTTTTTAAACAGGGCAAGTGGTCTACATGTGATCTTTTGAACATTATCACTGTACTTATTCTCAAGAGAAGTCTATAAAAAGTGGTAATTGGAAGTAAATTGTATCAAAATGTTTGAAAAATTAAAGGCGTCTCTTAAACATGTTAATTTTGACTTGGCATAACTGTTTTATGAAAATTGACAACCTACATGTGAAGCCTTTCACGTAATTTAAGATTTTATTTATATTACTGTTGAGTTGCAGCTTAGGGGCTCCAATAGCTCTCCTTTATAATACCATCAGTGTGCATGCTTTTATGTTTCTCAGAAGGTATTTGGATGGGAGTAAGGAAACAAATAAAATCTCTCACCGCTCTCATGTCTGTGCTGCCTAACCTTCTATGACTCAGGTGTCTACCTGTTTCTAGCATGAAAAAGGTTTAGTGATTTGCCTGCTTTCTGACTTTATAAAGCCACAATATTTTTAAAATATTGGGCAAAGTTTTGTTTTGTTTTTTTAATACATTGAAATACCCAAATTATGAAGCAATGCTAATTTTCCTACTTTAGAGGATGTGTGCCCTGTGTTTGTGGTTGACGGTTCATTGGTCAGCAGGTAAACCCCTAGGAAGCATATCAGGTGTCACTCAATAAGGCTATAAATAAAAGTGCCAACCTGGCTAATTCTTAGACACTATGGCTTCCTCCATATTTCATTTCTATACGATTTTCATTTTCACTTAGGTTAGCATCAGTTTTTCTTTATATACACATTATTTCTTTTCCTTTATAATATTACATGCTTTATCGACCAAATGACCTAACTAGAAATTAAAATCTGCCAAATTATAGGCATAAAGTAGCTGACTCCTAATTGTGTACGAGGTTCTACATTCGAAAGGATAGAAATGTCTCACAAGATAGTAAAATCTAGTGTAAAATACTAAAAATGAGTTTTGATCTTACAAATTGTTTTCGAGGTGCTGAGATTAAAGACTAGGTGTAAGGTTTCCTGACTGGTGCTTCAGCACTGGTTTGTGGAATGTTAGCCTATCTATGGGCAGGCTGGTTTCTCCTTTTTTTTCTTTTTAGACTAAAGATTGGCTGGCTGAAAATATTACCAGTTCCATAGAATTTGCAAAGCATTAGTGTGAAAATCAGTACTTTGATGAAAGTAACATTTGGTATATTTGATAGTTTGATATTATGTAGGTAAAATGTTTGTGTGATTGAAGTTAAAATGTTTCATTCAGATGTCATGGATAAAATCTGGGTGTTGTGGCATGTGGCTGCATTCAGGGTACTTAAGAAACCCAGGAGAGCTGCAAGTTCCAGACGAGCCTGGACTCTACTAAAATCCTCTTCAACCTGGCCACATAGACAAAAGAAGTAATCTAGAGAATCACTTTGAATTTAATTGCAGCATTTTTGTTAAGATTTCGTTTGAGGGGTGGGAGAGATGGCGAAAGAGGTTAAGAGTACTGGCTGCTCTTCCAGAGATCCCAGCACCCATGTGACAGTAACTGAAGTTACTGTTTATAACTCCAGTTTCAGGGGATCTGACACCCTTACACAGACACACATGCAGGCAAAACACAAGCACATATAAAAAAATTATAAAAAAATTAAAAGATTTCATTTGATACTTTTTTTAGTTTGTGTATGCTGAGGTAGATCTGTTACTTTTGGTAAATGGGGAGACATACATGGATTATGTATGTAATTTAACTACACTTGATTGTTACCCAAGCAGAGAAGCTCCCAGGAAGAGCTGCTGCAACTAGAAATCTGATGTCAGATCAGGTGCTCAGTACATGCCTTTTGGTGATGAGGCAGGCCAGTGTTTCATCCAGACTATTAGTTTGTGGTTTATAAATACATAACAAAGGTATATTCTACATTTCATAAACCCTCATATATAAAATAAAGCAGGAATGCTACTGGCACAATGTTTTCTGAGGTGATCAAATGATGAAAGTTCTAACACAATCAAGAAGTACTTGTTACTGCATTTCCTCATGAATTCTGAAAGTGTCACTGGGTTCACTGGTGCTTCTTAATTCAGCACAAAGGGAAAACTTGACCTCAGTTTTTTTGACATATATATATATATATATATAAATAAATAAATCTGGTGACAAAAAGTTACATTGTTACATAAAATGTGTATATGTATGTCTTATCACCAGGTGTAGCTATGAATCTTCGAGATGTATTTTGTTGGAGATTGCTGAGTGCTCATTGTGTGCCAGGAAATGCTGAACCTCTTTTAGGCACCACCCTGTGTGAACCATGAGTAGTGAGTCTGCAAGCAGGCCACCAAATGCTGGGTCCTTCTACCACTGGTTAGCCATCCAACCTCAGACAACTTTAAATAAACTGTGCCCCATGTTTGTCACTTGTAGAACCTTGCTAAGATGTTAGCCACAAAGGATTGTTGAGACCAGATAAAACAGCAGATATAGAGCATAGAAAGAACACTGTTGATATAGAGTCATCTGTCTTCATAGATGACTTTCAGGGCAGACAGAGCTTGAATAAAGTCACATCAAAACCACAGTGAAGTAATCTAATCCTTTCCTCTTTCACAAAGAAACAATGGGGTGTGAAAGTGGATGATCCTAGTTATGGCACAGAGTGTAGGTTTTGTTTTAAGATTCCGAGTAAGTGGTGTGGAGTATGGCAAGCCTCATGGCCACCACTGCTGGATAGGTGAACCTTCAGGGCTGGCTGGGTGGGGCATGACTGCTCATGGTGAGAGCATAGATGAAGGGAATGGCAAGGTGCCTGCAATAACATCTGAGGGTTCCTCCCACTGTTTGGCACTAAAGGTAAATCCTAGACTAAGTCTGTGCTGATGTAGCCTTCAGTGCATGCCTGTCGGAGCTATAGTGGGGAGTACAGGAATTCTGTTGGGAGATCAGGGTGGTAAGACCT